CGGTTCAGGGCACGGGCATTCAAGGATGACATCTACTATTTCCAGGCCGATCTCATAGTAGGTGGTCCCCAGCCCAGCCAGGATTCCCCCAGGGACACCACTGTCCCCTGAGCTTTGGGGCAATAGCATGGTGCTGGGGGCAGGGGTCTCCGTGCCCCGTGCCAGAGGACACTGCTGTGCCCTCTCCAGAGGACACTCGGTCCCCACGCTGGCTCTCACACTCTGCAGGCTGGCAGTTGTCCCGGCTGCACCACCTCTGCTCCCTAGGTTCAAAAGCTGTGCTGCACGGGGGACGAGGCTCAGCCCTGCCCCCTCGCTTGCTGCAGCCCAGGTGTGTCTCTGCCCTGGCTGGAAGCCTGTAGCCTTCCACGCTTCCCCTGTCCTGCTCAGTAATTCTTGTCCCTGCCTTTCCTGAAGCCCCTCGTCCCTGGCACACTCTCTGCTCCTGTGTACCTTGCTCCAGAGATGTTGGTGGGTGCAGAAAGCCCACCCCATCCGTCACCTTCCAGCTGATTACCCCCCAGACTGGAGATCCCAATTGCCATGTCAAGCTGGCTTGATTTTTGCTAGCATGAGAGCGGTGGGTGCAGCTCAGCCTGGGCTGATGCCTTCCCTCTGCTTCTTTCCCGACAGCGCAAGGTAGAGGAATTCAAGGAGAAGCTCTGCAAGGACAATGAGCAGGTGTCCCGTGACAAGTGCGAGGCTGCTCTCCGGGACCTCTCCCAAGACATGGAGAGACGAATCGGTGATGGTGTCTACAATGTGCCAGGGGGTTACCAGCTATTCGAAGGAGACCAGGAGGCACTGGTGGAGAAATATCGGGAGCTGCCTGGCAAGGGGGTGAAGGTAGGAACAAGAGCAGCTCCCCTTCGAGGGGAGAGGCTCCCTGTCCCATCCCCTTCCCCCAAGAAACCATTTCTCCCCAGCTGCTCTTTCTCCCCTTGACACCTCTTCTGCCTGTGGTCCCCCAGGCTGATGCTGTCCTGCTGGATTTCCTCCAAAGCAGAAAGACTCTGGCCAAAAGCATCCTCGGGACAGACCACTCCCTGACGGAGAAGGACAAGGAGCTGAAAAGCAAGTTCTGGGCTGGAGAAAGACCACTGCCTGTGAAGGGCCAAGCATGATGGAGGGGGACAGAAGTACTCCCTGGGGGCTTGTGCGCTCAGCTCCTGTCCTTGCAACACCTCTGTTTCTCTATCACCAGGTGCGCAAGAGCAGTGTGAGAGAGCTGAGCAGGAGAGGCAGGTCCAGAGGAAGAAGGAGGCTGAAGAACGGCAGAAGTTGGACGACCAGTTACGCAGCTGGAAAGAGCATGCGGCTCAGCTGAGAAAGAAGCTGGAGGATTGCTGTGAGAAGGAGCTGGAGGAGCACAAGAAGCTGATCATGCATAAATCAAAGGTACCAAGCGGGAGAGCGCGGGTGCCAAGATGTGGCTAGCAGGCAGGAATGGCAAGGGGTCCTGGCTGGGTCCCTCCCGTTGCTTCTCAGCTCTGTGCCCCTCTCACTGCGCACACCAGGCCCTTGCGACAGCCTGACTGTCTTCACAGGAGGAGAGCGCGCTGCTCAGAGATGGCTTCCATGAAAGAGCCTTCCACCTACGGGCGGTGACCAGTAGACTGGAGGAGGAACATTGCATCACCAGGAGCAAGTCATTGTCCTGGATCGACATAGTGGTATCAATGCTGTTGAAATTGTTAGATCACATATTTCCCATTAGGAGATTGTTTTCTTTATAACCCCTGTAGGAACAAAGTGAGAGAGGTGTGCAGTGTCCCCACTTGCCATTATGTGAAAGTTTGAAAGCCCTTCCTGCAAGATGCTTGCCGTAGAGTATGGAAGTGACCTCCATATTCACTTGTACCACACTATCTAGCGCTTTAATGAGTGTCTCCTTCCAGGAGAAGATGTTCTGCTCTTCCCTCCCAGAGCACCTGGTGTCTCACTTCTTCTGAAGGCACGGGGAGCATCTAAATCCAGGGTGGCCTGGGGCACAGAAAAACCACAATGCCAGCAGGCAGCCCTGGGAGCGTTTTGCCATGCTCAGAACATGTCCCTGGGGGATCTTACCCACCTCGTCTAGAGACCTCCTCACCAGGGCTATGGGAAACACGCCCAGGAGACCTTTAAGCTCATGTCCTGGGGTCACACTTACTGCAGCAGCGTGAAGCATCATGGAGGTTGTGAGTAAACCAGGAATCCACGTGGTGAGCGCTACCTGGTTTGCTTGGCATCAGTGCTGGGCAGAGTGACCCAGAGGAGCGGGCCCGTGATCCAGGGAGCAGTGGATGAAAGCCATCCTCTGCCATGTAGCTCTTCCCACCCTGGTCCTTAGCAAGACTGTGTTCACTTCAAAGCTGCGAGGAAGTTCTCCCCACAGGGCTGTCGTACTCTCTGCCCGCTCATGCCATCTCCATGCTGCTCCCCCTTTCCTTTCCTCAGACCAAGAGATCCCCAAGTGCCCCTTCCCAGGGGTGTGTGGGGTGATACAGCAGGAGATGGCTGCAGAGGGTTCGTGGGAGGTCTGTGTCTCATTGCACGGGTTTTGGCTGGGGTAGAGTTAATTTCCTTCCTAGCAGCTGGTGTGGTTCTGTGTTTTGGATCTGTGACCACACCAGCACTGATAACACAGCCCTGGTTTAGTGGTTGCTGGACAGTGCCTGCACAGCATCAAGACCTTCTCTGTTTGTCACTCACCGGCGAGTAGGCTGAGGGTGGGCAGGAGGCTGGGAGGGGACACAACCGGGGCAGCTGACCCCAAATGCCCAAAGCGATATCCCAGACCGTGTGACCCCGTGCTCGAGCAATAAAAGCTGGGGGAAAGAGGGGGGAAGGGAGGATGTGATGAGTTAAGGCGTTTGTCTTCCGGAGTGACCCTTACGTGTGACGGAGCCCTGCTTTCCTGGAGATGGCTGAACATCTGCCAGCCGATGGGAAGCAGTGAACGAATTCCTTATTTTGCTTTGTTTGCGCATGCAGCTGTTGCTTTACCTATTAAACTGTCTTTGTCTTGACCCAGGAGTTGTCTCACTTTTACCCTTCCCATTCCTGTCCCCGTTCCCCAAGATGGTCCCCAAGTGGACCTTAGCTGCCTACCGGGGTCAACCCACGACACCCACGGACAAAGGGATTTCCCTCTTCTCTACTGCGAATTCAATCTTCAGCTGCACCATGAGAAGAAGCAGCGACACTAACCGTTCCAGTAACGTGGAGGTGTAGAGGTTTTTGAGTTCTTTATGGGCAGTGGGGCTGGTCCAAAGGCACTCGCCCCAGTGGCACCAGCCCCTGAAATGACTTCCTTGCTGTGCAGGCGCTCCATCCCTGCAGGGGAGGTCTGCATGGGACAGAGGAAGGTGTGTAGGGCACAGCCCCTGCTCACCCAGCAATGTCCCGGGGAACCTCCTAAGGATGAAGCCCAGGCTCTGTTCCTCCATGTGCTGTTGTGCCGGTGCTGTTTTCCCTCCTGAACCCCAACATCATAAGACCCTGTGTCCCTCCGTTGCAACACTCCAGTCCTGGGAGCCATCCCAACGAGATCCCAATGAGATCGCAGCCCTGCAACTGCACACAGGTCCTCATGTCTATTCCCCAGATCACGTGCACTGACGTACAGACACTTCAGAGAGGCACCCCAGCACGCTGAGTTCCTGGAGAAGATGGGGGATTTTTCCATCATGGTGCCATTGTGGCACTTTCTTGCTTACATGCAAGTGCTGGAGGGGACCTGCTTAAGGTCTGTTTTGTTGGTTTCATGATTCCTTCCTGTCACATCGCCACAGACCTCTGCGCATTGACCCTGTCTGTCACTCCCTCACAGGCTGCTGGATTCGCTCTCCCTCTCATCCGTGGTTTAAATCCCCTTTTACAAGGTCAGCCATTTAATCGGCAAAGATTCCTTCGCCCGTCTTGGTGAGGTGGATCCCATCTCTCCCAAGCAGACACTGGTCTGCATCCATGGTCCTGTGGTTTTAGAGCCCAACACCCTGTTACCATCACCAGTTCCTCAGCCAACTGTTGAACTGCATGAGCAGTGCTCTCCTCCTCACACCCTTGCCCCTCACTGGCAGGACTGAGAGAAGTCCCGGGAAAGGGATTTATTTCTCGCCATGCAGGAGGCTATTTTTTTCATTCAGCTTTCAAGAATTAGGCAGCCTCACCTGTCTCAGTTCTTGCTCCCAGCTAAAACTGGAAGGCAGCAGGAGGTGTGGCTGGGGCCAGCAGGCATTGCCTCCAAGCCGTGGACACCGGGCATGTGGTATGAGTTGAGTCACCTGCAGGCTCTGCCTTCTGAAATGAGAGGGCACCAAAATGTCTCCCTGAGGCAGAGAGGTCTGTTTTGGGGGGGAGCTGAAGTGAGCTGAGCTACTGATCTGTCCTCCCAGTTAGGATTCCTTGCTCCTGCAAAGGAGGTGCATGGGGTCCTGCTTTGCCCCACTGCAGGCAAATGAGCATGGTTCCTCTCCGCCCTGTTTGACTTCTTCCTGAGGACAAGCAGAGTCCTCTGTCTCTCCAACATGTGGAAAGGCAGCAGAGGTGGACCAGTGGGGCAGTGACATTTGTGCTGTGGTTGTTTGAGGCAGGTGAGATGAATCTCACCGAGGCAGCAAAGTCTGCTCCAAATCACAGGGAGAAGCATGAGAGCTCTGTGCATCTTTCTACATCCACGCTGCTCCAAATGCTCCCTCTTTGCACTTGCTACTCAGTACCTGAAGATGGCATTGAGCTCTGCCTTTTGCCTTCTGCAGGCTGAGCAAACCCACCTCTCTCAGCCTCTTCTTGTGCTTCATGAGCGTCAGTCCCCTGACCATCTTGCTGACCCTGTGTTGTGGATCAGATTTTGAATCCTATCCGTGATGCCACTGTGGGGTGGGTGGGTGATTTAGACCGCTTCAAGGACCATCACCAAAGGTACCAGCGAAAAGTGGTTTTATTGAGATATGAAAGCGCAATGGCACGGTTCACTCTTACTTACTGCACGAAGGATGCAACAGTGATTGGAAAGTACGGAATCCAAGTTACCAATACAAAATCTTAGTGCACTGTAAGACAAGGTCATGGACGATATTGGTCACTCACCAAAAATTTGCTGTTGCTAAGAGGTCTCTCTGCCTCAACGAGCAAGCTTGAGAAGTCTCTTAGTCAAGTTTTGAAACTGTCTCCCATAACATCCTCCTAGGGAAGCTCAGGAAGTGTGGGCTGGATGAGTGGTTGGTGAGGTGGATTGAGTGTTAGAGATTGATTATAAAGATTGATTATAGAATAGAATAAAATCATAGAACTAGAAAGCAGATTCAGCTGTGTAAACACAGCTGTGTTAAGAAACCATACAATGTGTATGTTGCAATTGGGATAGAAATTAATTGTACGGATTGCATCAAACAGAATTTACAAAAGAAGCCGAGATGACCCTGAAACCAAGCAAGGCCTTAAACCAGCGAGGGAGAATTCTACCAAGACAGAAGAACAGAAAAAACTTAATAAATAATGTACTCAAAGGAACAGAACGGTTGATGAAGATGCTATACTTGATGTAATTGGTTTAAAAAATGTCTATAAACTGGTCTAGCAAGTTGAGCTTTGCCACTTGCTGAGGTGATGGCCCAACTCTGAGTTGTGAATAAAAGCAAAACCTAGTGTAACCCATTCGTGTGAGGACAAAATTTTTAACATTGAGAAGTGGCTGAATGGCAGAGCTCAGAGGATTGTCATCAGCGGCGCTGAGTCTAGTTGGAGGCCTGCAGCTAGTGGTGTCCCTCAGGGATCAGTACTCGGCCCAGTCTTGTTCAGCTTCTTCATCAATGACCTGGATGAAGAGTTAGAATGTACCCTCAGCAAGTTTGCTGATGACACCAAACTGGGAGGAGTGGTGGATACACCGGCAGGCTGTGCTGCCATTCTGCGAGACCCGGACAGGCTGGAGAGTTGGATGGAGAGGAACCTGATGAGGTTCAACAAGGGCAAGTGCAGGGTCCTGCACCTGGGAAGGAACAAGCCCATGCACCAGGACAGGCTGGGGGCAACCTGCTGGAGAGCAGCTCTGTGGAGAGGAACTGGGAGTGCTGGTGCATGACAAGTTGACCATGAACCAGAAGTGTGCCCTGGCTGCCCAGCAGGCCAATGGGATCCTGGGGTGCATCAAGAGGAGTGTGGCCAGCAGGTCAAGGGAGGTTCTCCTCCCCCTCTGCTCTGCCCTGGGGAGGCCCCATCTGCAGTACTGTGTCCAGTTCTGGGCTCCCTAGTGCAAGAAAGATGAGGAGCTACTGGAGAGAGTCCAGCGCAGGGAGAAGGCTGAGAGGGGGCCTTAGAAATGCCGATCAATATCTGCAGGGTGGGTGTCAGGAGGACGGGGCCAGACTCTTTCCAGTGGTGCCCAGCGACAGGACAAGGGACAATGGGCACAAACTGAAGCAGAGGAAGTTCCAGCTGCATATGAGGAAGAACTTCTTTATTTTGAGGGCGATGGAGCCCTGGAACAGGCTGCCCAGGGAGGTTGTGGAGTCTCTTTCTCTGGAGATATTCAACACCGGCCGGGATGGTGGTCCCTTCCAACGCCTAACATTCTGTGATTCTGTGAATGGGTGGTCGCCACTGTGCAGTGATGCTGCTTAGCTGGGAGACCTCAAAGGTGGCTCACACAGGCTATCGCATTTATGGGATAAAGTGGTTGCCTTGTAGT